ACATGTGGACATTGCACGCTAACAAAAGTTATGTAAGCTTCACCTACCACCTTCTCCGAAATTCATGATGAAGCGGTTCACATTGAATCGCGACATATGTCTGCCAGTCACAGTACTGTGAGCATTGCAACTATGGTGGACAAAATGTGCCGTGACTAGGAGATACCCGATGAATGTGCGAAGCTCATCGTAATGGATAACAGGCGAAACATCCATGCTGCGGTAAGGAGACTTCCAGGGACTGAAAGAATGTGCTTCGCACATACGCTTCAACTGGCGATTAATCACGCGAGATCCCGTACGCCGGCCATTGATCGCCTGTGCAAGAAAGTTGGGTATATTGTGGGACATTACAAGTACAGTTCATCAGCACAGAAAGGCTTGAGGAGTGCCAAAAGACGACTGTAAAGGACACACTACGTCTGGTACAAGACGTGGAGACGAGATAGAATAGCCAGTATCTGATGTTGTCTCGTCTTCTGGGCCTCAAAGAAGCAGTCATTGTGGAGCTTGTTACTTTGGACTGTGACATCGATGGACTTGATTCATCAGAGCGGAAAGATGCTTCTGAATATGTAAAAGCACTGAAGCCATTGCTTGATGCCACTGTTATTGCCAGCGCTGAGAAGTATCCGTCGTTGTCCTCCCAATTTCCTATTATTTTTGGTACGTTCCACTGTCTGGGTAACTGTGCTGGAGCATCAGAAGTTTCCGCGGAACTGATAACACCCGTTAAGGCAAGGTTCACTTTCTATGAAAAGGACAAGAAAGCATGCCTTGCTATGTTCTTGGACCCATGCTTCAAGCCCACTATTTTTAAAGCCTAAAAACAAATATTATGGCTAAAAGATCTGGTGCTGCAAGAGCTAGCCTCATGTGCTGCTACTGGAGAAACCCAGCCGGAGGCTGTAACACAGAGACAAGAGCAAGGCTCAATGCCCTCGGCAGATGTTTGGCAAGCATTTGACCACTTAGCCAAAAGTACAGTGGAAATGAAAGTGGTTTCAGCTTCAGAATGGGAAGTTCCAGCATATGCAGAGGAGGCACTACTAAAGAGAGAGAGAGAGTGATTCGTGTGAGTGGTGGCGAACTGTCGGGTGCTTAAGATATCCCCGTCTGGCAGAGCTTAGCGTCAAATACCTTGCAATACCTGCCACTTCAGTGCCAAGTGAGAGTTTTTTCTGTGGCTGGAAGAGTTGTTTCCGTCCAAAGGGAGCGCCTCCTACCTGACCATGAGCAGCAGTTAATTTTTCTGCGTGACAAATTGTCACCTCCTTCCCTACAACTAAAATTTTTGTTTTTGTGTTTTTATTCTTGTTAACACTAATGACGCGTTCCAACATGTGAAAATAAAAATGCTGTCAATAAATGCGCCTGTCTTCGTTTATTCAATATTTGATTCAATATCCAAAGCTAACTATTCATATTTGATTCATATGTATTTATTTATTTATTTGTTACATGTTACTCTGCAGTGCCAAGTGGCATTATTGCAGTGGGGGGGGGGGGGGGGGGGGGGGATACATTTGCACAAGAATCACAGTCGTCAAATACAGAAACACCAAAAAAAAAATATTGTGTTGCAAAACATAACACTTTAACAAATGGATCCACAATGGTATTAAGGTTAGCTACGAATATAATTTTCTGTACAATTAAAGGTATGAAGACACAAAGCACAGTGTTATAGACCAAGCATTCTGAATACACATTCACAAAGAAAAAATTCACTTTCCTTATTCCCAGCTATCACGTGGCAGTTTATCAAAAAAATTATCAGACAATGAAATCGAAATAGTTTTCTCGGGCAATTCGTTCCATTGTTTAATGGTATTGGGGGAAAATGAGAATTTGAATATATTAGTCCTAGCTGAAAATCCTCATTTTTTTTTTTGGAATGATCTAATCTGCATCATACAGAGGTTCCCAGTCTAACAGACGTTTTAGGGCACTAACACTTTGTTTGAAATTAATTTTTTGTAACGAACCTAGCAGCTTTGCTCTGGATTTGTTCAATTTTTTGTTCTAGATAGCGTTCTTTAGGGTCCCACAGCACACAAGCATATTCTAAAATGGGCCTCACATTAGAAAGAAAAAGGGTTTTTTTTTACATTGGAAGGACAATCGTGAAAATTCCCCCTCAAGAAATTTTGCACACCCCTCATTTTTACGCAAGAGGACACCACACTGCTCGACTCCTATGAGGAACTGGCTCAATGCCAACTTCTTGTGAACGTGGATGGGCAGGGGCTTCCCAGATCACCAGACGTCACGGTCTGTGTCTTCTTCATATGGGGCTTCGGGAAGTCCGAGGTCTACATGGGCCATCGTGGGACTGAGAACATTGCCACAATCAATTTCCTCAAACATTGTCTCGAAGCAGCATTTGCATTCCCAGTGTACGAGACCACTCTTGTCTTCTGCACCTGACAGCTGGGTGATCATGTGGAGACCCTGTTTTTGAGCGGAGCAGAGCCCTAGGACTTTGCCTATGGCTGACCAAACAACGGTCTATAGACCCGGCTGACCCCAAGCTTCACCACCTGTATTTGCAATTAATTTCCTCCCGTCATATGTTACACTTTCTTTTTTTTTTTTTTTTTGCAAATATTATTTTAACAAAATTTGGCTCTTGCCACGTGTTGAATGCTTGTGCAAAGAAGTTTCTTCGCATGTGCTCTCTCTACTACTTAGACGTCGCTCCATTTATGATATTCAGTTTCTGTCTTCTGGTGTTGCACTATGAAAAACAACTAAAATCCAATAGATGGCCCGCTTCACATGCAGAAAAGTGTAGAGCCAGCTTGAATCCCCTTAGTGAACCAACCAAATAGTTTTCTATGAGGAGAAACGATTGTGACCTAACTAATGTGGAATTCAGCGAACCTATCTAAGCTGAAAAGGACCAGCATCAAGCTAATATAGCACTCAAACCGGGTGGTGCATTTGAGAAGTGGCACGACGTAGCTGTTCCGCGAACTTCTAAGTCGAAACTAACGATAACCAAACTGACTCCACGTTAGTGGTGTAATCTGAAAGATGCTGTTGGAAACTGATGCAATCTGTCTGCTTCTCCTGCTCGGCAGCGTTTTCTTGTAGACCACACCAGTTTTTGTCTGATAACTTCCGATTCAGATAGCAGTAAGTTCTGAAACTTTGACCTCTGGTCCCAACCGCTAGCACTCCATTCTGGCAAAGTCTGCACTTCCGGCAACGCATAGTTTATTTTTCCAATGCGAAAAAGGCAGTTCTTTTTCCTCACAAACGTCCGGCACTTTGTCTAGCACTGTACACCTGGAATGATGTCTGTGTTTTCAAATCTGATTTAATTCCCGTACCCGTATCGTATTCCTAATCTATCGACCAAAAATTTCGTTTTATATTTTGCCTCCTCTATCATGTCTCGACACTCCACAGTTACAAACAACTAAAGACCCTTTGAGACCAATGTCCCTCATTCATTTCTCTCTGTCTATTTTGTGCCTTTCTTGCACTGGCCATTATTTTGAATGATTAGAGCGGTCCAGACAGCACGTAGGTCTCAGCATTTTATGTGAGAGACTTCCAGAAATTGTAACATCAAGCAAGACTAAAAATTTCAGTAGAGTCTTAGTATATAGGTCAGACAGGTAGGTGTGTTGATGAGAGGCTGAGGGAGCACAAACTTAAAGTAGAAATTATCGGGACGGTCATCTGTCTGATCATTGTGAAAGGTGCAAGTGTATGCCATTGTTTTCCGAGAGCAAGATTCTGGCACGGCACAAGGAAAAAACTGTGAGGGAGATAATCGAGGCAGATGAGATTAGGAAGGGTGGTGCAGCATGTGTCAGCGTGGCCTCAATTGATTTACTGGACAAGGAGCGTGCGTTCCTCAATGACGCGGCCTGGCACCGGGTTGGCTAGTGGTGGAGCAAAATCAGAAACTCGGATGGTATAAAAGTGTCGTTTCACGTAATAAAATCAGTTGTTAGTAGCGCATTGTGCTGTCTGTTTCTCGCCTCTTTGTCCCTGTTTTTTGAGCGCTAAAATGTATTCCAAAGACTAAAAATTCCAGAAGTCTGATAGGGTGTATCCGAAGAGCATGAAAAGTCATTGCCAGTTATAGGCAGTCTGTTTTGGGAACCCCAATGCAATCAATCCGTGGCCCGGTGTCTGCCTCAAATTGGTCCTTACTTCAATAAGAAAAGAGCGATGTCTCATAGAACAAGGCTTGAACTACAAGTGAAATGAACCTTTAAAAGTATCATGTAAAGTTGTTGAGAAAGCCCACCGTAAAGAAAGACTAATAGAAAAGAACTGCCAATTAAAGGTTATTTCTTCTGTACCGATTTTTACGGGACCGTAAGTCACTCAATATCAATTCACGCTTATGGAGAATGGGTGGACAAGAGTTTTACTTTTTGCTCCTGTCTAGAAAAGTTTAGGTCAAAATCTTTCTTTAAAATTTTTTTTTTTTTTTTTTATGGTTTTACTTTTAATTTAGATACAACTGCATCCTCAAACAAATTTTCAGTACACTATTTCGCCTCCTTCATATATGCCTGGACAATGTCTCACAGCACCTCAATTGTGCCACAATGTTGTCAAGCATGCAGAATAAGATATGGACAAGGATTGGACCCACAACTTTCTTGACTGGAATGAAATGTAAAACGGCTCATCTATCTGCTCGATTGTGAGTTTGTAGCAAGAAATTTACAAAGTAACATACGAAAGGTTTGCCGAGCAAACACCCTGCTGATAAGGATTTCCATTCATTTTCCTTTAGCACTACTTTCCTCAACTCGCACTCACGTGACACTTCAGAAGCACACAATCACAGTTTATATTGCATATATTTCAAGCGGAAATTTCTCAGCATGCTGAATAGCACGCTTGTGTAATAAAAGTGAAGACAGGTGACGTTATGCTTCCCCATGGCACTGCCTGTTTCGTAAGACTTTAGTGCTGGAGGTCCGTTGGAAACTGTTCATAGGCTGATTGTTGCTTTGTCTTTTCAGACCAAGAAAAGGTGTCCGATTATGAAATGAAGCTCATGAACATCGACACTGAGCACCTGGGCATTCCGGTATGGTGTGATTTCTCTGGCAATGCATTGCTTGCAGCTTCCAACATAGTTCTCCCAGCCTGGTTAGATTCAATCTTTCCATCATCTTTTCCCAGGAAACTGACTACAGTGTGATCGTGAAGATGCCATCAGCAGAGTTTCAACGCATCTGCCGGGATCTGAGCCAGATTGGTGACTCCATTCAAATCACCTGCACCAAGGAGGGTGTCCGATTCTCAGTCTCCGGTGACCTAGGATCTGGTGGGCTTTTACTCCTTCAGAAACTTGCTGTCCCTCCTATACTTTTTTTCTGCATTAACTTTCTGTAGCCTTTTTTTATTTTTTTTATTTTTTTTTTTGTGTATGTATTACCTGAATTTGCTTAAGTTGCTGGCACAGTTGTATTGTCAGTTGCATAATACACTTGTTGCGGTTACCTTCTTACGGTTGAGCTTGTCCTTCCATATGGGACAGCTTCATACAACATTATTGCTTTTCTTTTGTTACACTAGTATATCTAAGGGCAAGGGCAAATCTCTTGTTCAGTATCTTATGGCGATGTCTGTTCATCAGATACCTCTATTATAATTGCTCTAAGAACCCTCGCCAAATCTGTTTTGTCTCTTGCATGCCTTTTCGGCAGGTAATGTGAAGCTGTCCCAGACAGCCAATGTGGACAAAGAGGAGGAAGCCGTGATCATCGAGATGCAGGAAGCTGTGTCCCTCAACTTCGCACTCCGCTACCTCAACTCCTTCACGAAGGCCACGCCGCTCTGTGGACAAGTGCAGCTCTCTATGTCTGCAGATGTCCCACTGGGTAGGCATATGTAGCTCTGAATGGACATGCTCTAGCACAGTGGTTCTCAACCATGGATGATTTGCGGACACCTTGTCAATTGGCGGAGATGATGGACGACCCTGTTCATGGTGAGGGAAAGGTATAGGTTAATTATGATAATGATTTAATATGTGAATATTACTAAGGGGGTTTCTTCTCAATCGGATAAAAGACAACTTTGATTGCCGGGCTTGACCGACAAAGCAGGGCTTCACGGACCCGTAGAATGCCTTCGCAGACCTCCATTTGAGAACCACTGCTCTAGCACATTGCAGATACATTTCTCTTAAGAATGTTACATGCATGCGACTGTTTGAAATGCCACCACTCGCTGGCTTTGAAGTTAGTAAGCATTTGCATGACATGGATGAAGCTAGCATTTGCATATAATCAAGTCTTAAACTGTCATCCCTTTCAGGGGAATCTCATAGGAGTGACGGATGTTAAGTTCTGCTTCTCATTGTGTGTAACCACCATTGTGTTTTTGCTCTTTCTGCAGTTGTGGAGTACAAGATTGAAGACATGGGTTACGTCCGTTACTACCTAGCACCAAAGATAGACGACTCTGAAGACAACTAACTTTTGTGACATGCTTTGACATTTGTATTAGACTCACCCCTTTTTTGGATTGGCATTGCATAAAAGCTCTAAATAAACACAAAAGTAGTAATCCCTCTTTGTATCCAGTAGCATACAAGCTTCATCACAACTACACGAGTCAAAGGAATTGTTGACTGTTTGAAGAGCCCGCATAAATCACTTCCTTAAAATGTTGCTCTAGGCTTTACCGCAAGAAGCCTGAAGGTGGTGGGCATTTGGTATAAGAATTTCACCAAACAAACTTGCCTGAGTAAAAAGTTAGAAGTCGGAGGTTTGAAATCCCTACCGACCAACCCAACTCTTTTAAGGACTGGGTGATCTCACAGGACAAGCTGCTGCCTGCAGTGCAATTCGTATGGACACAGCTCCACCGTTTCTGCTATGCAGGCGGCGGACCAGCGGAGCTCTTGTCTCAATGGGCGTCGGGTATGCAAACTGCTTTTAATAGGCCCATTGCGCTTGCATACCTGCCAAGTCTCCCGAATTTTGACCAATTTGAATGGTTGTACGAGTGACAAGAAAATCTCCCGAAAAATGCAAAGTACCCACCCACACTTAAACAAGAAGTTTTTATCGTCGCAACAAACGGCTGCAATGATAGCGAGGCACAGCTGTATCTTGCTAGCATGAACAACGCAACTTAAATGTAATGAAGTTGTTATGTAAATTTGTTGTCAATATTTCTATTAAAAAATCGTCGTCCCCCCCCCCCCCCCCCAATTCTCCAAGATTTGGTTTCTCCGAACTTTGCAAGTATGCACTTGCGTCAAGAAACAGTTGGGGTCATTCGTGCTTCGTATGAGGCACAACATTCAATTCAAGGAGGAGCTTGGTGCATGGCATGCAAGGCACAAACAGGTGTCCTGGTTACTTGCGGTCCGACGCACTCTGGCGCAGCTGTGAGCATGGGCCTTTACCCTTCCCCCGCCACTACAGATGCCCTAGGTCAAGAGCAGCCATGTTTGACATGGAATAAATACATTTTCTTGAACTCAAATTCCTACATACAATGCCCAAATTTAAAAAAAAAATTTTTTTTTAGATTTTGTGGGTGCAGTTTGTTAGTAGCAAGTAAATTAGGATTGTACCAGTGAAAACATGAAAGTATGCATTGACAAGTGGTTGCAAAACACACCTGTCAATACATATGTTCATGTGGACATGTGCAGAATACAGTAAAACCTCGTTATAACAAAATGGGATATAACAAACTAATGGATATAACAAAGCAATCATAATTCCCCTCGCTTGCTAATATTGGGAAGAAATGGACATTGGCTATAACAAACTAATGGTTATAACGAAATAATTGCAACCACTCCAACTTTGTTATAACGAGGTTTTACTGTAGTATGCTTTTGAGAAAAGAAACCCTCGACACCAGATGAGGTCACTCGGCGAGGTGTCCACAGTAATAATGTATATTTCAACAACGGATAGAAAAGGGAGGTTCTCGATATTAATCTTGTAATTCACAACAGAACCTAATAAAAAAAAAGTTTAGTGTCTACCAATACTGTACAGATATTGCAACTGTTTGTAAGTTGGCAAGTTTGTGGATGCTTCACAAAATGAAAGCCTGAAAAACGGGGACACATAAAGGGCGCTGCTGTGTCTGTCTTCTACTTGTCCTTGTTTATTTTGCACTGTTCATCTTTTGAAGCGAGATGCGTGTTTCTATTTTTGTTTAGTGCTGATAAAGGCATCTAGGTTAGTTAGAGAAAGATACTGCTGTAACATGAGTGTTCAATATGGCAGCCCAATGACCTAGCCTTTTTTTTTTTTGGAGGGGGGGGGGGGGGGGTGGTGAGGTGAGGTGGCTGGGATGTTTATGACTGGATGAGGGGACGTGGAGGGGGTGTCAAAATGCATGTGTATAATATAAGGTCGGCTGGATTTCGGGGAGGTCTCAAGCCCCATAAGCTTGTCCCCCCCCCAGCTATGTACCTGGTCATGACGAACCTAGAGAAGACCAATCAGCCAACTCATTGTATTTTGTCTCGTGTAGATCAGCAATTTAAAGTCTCCCATTTTTGCCTGCACTACTTCAAATTTTAAAAAATTTTTTCTATCTCCAAGTAGAGTAGCCTGTTCAATGAAATCGCATTGGTGCCATGCACACAAGTTGTCACAAGTGGCCAAAAGCAGCATTTACTGGAAACAAAGTGCACTCATTTGCCAAGAGGCGAAAGCAGACCTTTGGGCGAAGTCCTCAGAGTGTGAATGTTGATCGCTTCACCTGAAATTTTCATCAGTACATTAGTTAGTATGTGGCAGTTTGTTTTTCTCTATTTTATATATATTTTTTTTTTCTTGTTTTGTTAATTATGCCAACCAGCATAATTTTGTCCGCCGACAAAAACTTCTATATCAATTTTTAAAAAATTTCCTTCCTACGTATTTCCCAAGAGCCTTTAAGGGTAAATAAATAAACCTGTGTTGGTGATAAGCACAAAGCAAGGAAAGAATGCCATGTACAAACTACAGAATGGTAGAGTGGGAAGAATAAGGAAATAAGATGAAGGGTACTTGCAACTCCAAGCATGCAATACTGTCTAAAAGTACCTAGAAAGACCCCTGTGAAGATTTTTGTTTGGTTTCATGATAGGAATATGTTTGCCATTGCACTTATGCAAGGCAAAAATACTGGAACACTTTAATAAATTGTTTTACCAAAGCTCATGACCACAATAGCACCAATCATCTAAGAAAGCACAATACAATACTTCAAAAATTCTGTTTTACAAAATATCAGACATTGCTAGCAATATTAAGTCAAAAACAAAAAATTATTGAATTTGTTTTCATCAAAAATAGTTTCCAAGGAATTCTATCCCTTGATTTAACATCCCCCTTAACTATTACTGAATGCGTTGGTGACAGTGACTATTAAATGACTTATGCTACATAGAAAAAAATGAAAGCCGTTTACAATTCCCTCTAATGCCTGTTGGAGCGCAGCTCTTGAGGAGGAGGATGAAAGCGTACTGAGGGATAGGTGATAGAGCACTGCACGGGCCCGGGCCAGCCCGAAAGCCCGAGCCCGGCCCGCGGGCCGGGCTCGGGCCGGGTAGCACGTATTTCTTCGGGCCCGGGCCGGGCTCGGGCTTGAACAAAAAAGTTCTCGGGCCGCGCCGGCCCGGGCCGGCCCGGGCCATGCCTGGGCAATCTTGTGCCGTAAATCATAAATTGTTGCTGATAGCAAGAAGTTTGCTCATTAATCTTTTAGGTTCATTGAATACAAAAAAAGCGAAGTGACAATTCACTACAGCGTCGTTAAAAATAATAACTAAAAGACGTTTTGAAGCTAGAAAGCCTTCAAGCTTTTTCCGTGTGAGCAAGGGTTCAGTGTTTAAATTGTAAACAAAATGAAGTCCCAGTCATATGCTTGTCAACCTGTCTGATTCATCGCTCTCAAAAATATCTAGTTCACTATTAGGAAGGTTTAGAAAAACGTACGCAAGCGCTTTGCGTACCGTAAAAATAGCGTTGCGATGTAAAACCTATGGCGATGCTAATTTTAGCTTGCCCAAAGTGCTTGAGTACGTTATTCCAAGACTCCCTTATTGCACAGAGCGCGACACTATATTAGCGCGAACAAGCGATCGTCGTGTTTTTATGTTTATCTTATAGAATCAAAACGCTGTTTTCAAAACTATTAGTGTTTTTAGAAGTGCTCATCTGGGCCAAAGACCTAAGCGGTATACTTTGGTGCCTACTAATACCATTTCGATGTAAAATTCGAAAAAAGAGCCAACGTCGTGTTCGCGGTATCAGTGTCGCGCAGAGTACATAGTTCGTTCCGCGCTTGCACGTTTTGGGAACCAGCTTGAAAAAAACGTTTTAAGGGGTTAAATAGGAATATATTAAACTTAATCTTGCCTGAAAGTGTTGTATATTTTAAGAACACGTTGACATGTAAAGCTACTTGAGAACATATTCTTAAACAGAAAACGTGCGCAGACCAGGCTTAGAACGATGGAGACTTTGTGAAGAGGTTGCGATGTGCAGGGCCTTATAAAAGTAGGTTGAAACGGGACGCGTTCAAACGCAAAGGGTGTTTCGGAAACTGGTTCAAATAAGAAGGGCGTTTAGGGAATGGGTCGAAACAGGACAAATTCAAACGAGAAGGGCGTTTAGGGAACTGGTCGAAACGGGACGAGTTCATATGGGAAGGGCGTTTAAAGAAAGGGTGGAAACAAGACGGGGTTCAAATGGGGAGCTCGTTTCGGGAACGGGTGGAAACGGGACGGGTTCAAACAGGAATGGGTTGTTTCGGGCTACAGCCATCGGGCCGGGTCGGGCGGGGCCTAGAATTTGAAATTCTGTCGGGCTCGGGCCGGGCCCGGGCCGTGTCTCTTCCGGGCCGGGTCGGGCCGGGCCTAGAAATTAAAAATTCTGTCGGGCTCGGGCCGTGTCCCTACCGGGCCGGGTCGGGCCGGGCCTAGAAATTCCGGCCCGTGCAGTGCTCTAATAGGTGACTCCTTGAGGTCACGTGACCTCATGAGAGGTCGGGTGATGTCAAGGGGGTCACGTGACCTCGGGGGAGGGGGGTCACGTGACCTCGGGTTCACGTGACTCCAGGGGGTCACGTGACCTTGACAATGACGATTTGATGACGCCATCAGTGATGATGACGATGCGGATGCTAATGACGTCATTAGTGATGATGACGATGACGTCATCAGGTTGCATGCAACCTGGATTGCATGCAACAGGTTGCATACAAATCATTGTATGCCAGTTGCATGCAACAGGTTGCATGCAACCTATTGCATGCAACTCCCGAAGGAACTTGAGGTCCTACCGAAGAAACCCGAGGACTCCCGAAAGAACCCGAGGTCCTTCGGGAGGACCTCGGGGGGTTGACGTGACTCCAGGGGGTCACGTGACCTCAGTGGGGTCACGTGACCTTAAAAGATCATGTGACCTCAGGGATCACATGACCTCCCCCAGGTCACGTGACATTGACAATGACGATTTGATGACGTCATCAGTGACGTCACTGATGACGTCATCAGTGATGATGACGATGCGGATGCCAATGACGTCATCAGTAATGATGACGATGCTGATGCCAACGACGTCACCAGTGATGTCACTGATGACGTCATCAGTGATGATGACGATAACAATGCGGATGACGATGACGTCATCAGGTTGCATGCAACCTGGATTGCATGCAACAGGTTGCATACAAATCATTGTATGCCAGTTGCATGCAACTCCCGAAGGAACCCGAGGTCCTCCCGAGGTCCTACCGAAGAAGCCCGAGGTCCTCCCGAAGGACCTCGGGTTTCTTCGGGACGACCTCGGGTTCCTTCGGGACTCCTCGGGTCCCTTCGGAAAAATTTACCCATAATGCACCGCGCGGTTACGCCGACGGCGACGCCGCTCAAGCCGGAAACGGGCGCCTAAGAGCTTCTCTAAAAAACAAAACAATGAAAAGCTGTCTTTGCAGTCACTAATTCACCAAAAGAATTTTTAGAGACTGGCCTATCCATCTGCATCTTGTAAAGACACTACGATGCTTGGGCCTGCTGAGATCCCATTGTACTTGACTATAGGTTGGACTGCACTACTCAAAAGGTCTGTTGATAAGAGTACAGAGACAAGTGCACCAAAATTTAATGCACAGTAAGTGTGCTCCTCAAGAAGCTTGTGGCTCTCATCAAGTTAAGTAACCGCTGATGGGTAGGCTGTACTGCATCGAAAATTTTGAATGAGATGGCACTGCCAGAACCTTCCAATAAAATTTTTGTTGCATTGCATACTGCTGCAAGTACAAACCACAGCCTCTTATATAGGGGGACAGCCTGCGTCCTCCGTGCCAGACCTGTTCAGCAAAACTGGGGGTGAGACGACAACATGACGAAAAGAAGGTACAAGCGTGGTGGTGCTTCACAAATCCATGGGCACTATCCATAACTTCCCTTGTTTCTTGACAAAAAAATAAGTCTTGTCCTCGTTTCCCAATTTTGGCACATCTTTGTACTTGCTCCTACCCAATCCTACCCCCCCAGGAGATGAAAGTAAGCCATTGAAAAATTTTAAAAATCCTTTTTTTTTTTGTTGCTTTTTTTTACAAATGAAAAAAAGGTAGGTGGTTTGTACAGTCGCTAGGATTCCCAAGTGGTGCTGCTTTCAGAATAGTACACCCTCACCTGCTGCTCTTCTTCCCTCAAATTGCGACCTGGCAGTCTTGTTCTGGCGTGAAAGGCACAGGCTTTCTGTATAGGCGGCTTTGTGATCAGGGTTGTGGAATACCTTACAGGGGTATTTTAAAGTGGTAGCTTTATAGGCCCAACCACACACACATTATCAAGGTCACGTAACGTCTGTGGCTGTTAATCATTTCATCACCGTACCACTTCCTTTCTTAACTGTTTTCACGAATGTTCCTGTAACGCTACCACATTTCATTGCATTTAGTCAAATGAACAAAGCTGCATCAATTTCATTGTGTAAGGTACATATTAGCCCCGAGAAGTTCGCGTGGCGCCCCCTTACGGCAAACCGGAGTGACGTCGCGGCGAGGAGAGAATTTTTCCCCGACTCGCCTCGCTCGTCCTGTGGAGGCTATGACGACGCTAGCTGACGGCGCGCTTGTTTCTATTTAATTTTTTTGGCATGTTTTTCGTGGGAAGTGTAAATTTATATGTGTCTTTATTGAGGTATGGCCTGTAGCTACAGGCGAAACTTCAACCAACATTTTAAGCATGGTTGACAGGGCAGGCAACGCATGAATCACAACTGGTATATGAAAATGAAGAAATATGGCCACAATTGCAGGCGCATCACTATAGATTTACATCTCGCACAATAAATGCTGCTGATGGTCTGAATGAATTGGGAGGTTATGTATACTGTATTTTCTTGTATCTCTGTTTTTATACAAGATCGCCGAAGCAGAAAAGCTGCATGCTGCTCGAGCAACATGCTAAATACAGTCAGGGTCATGGGGAGAGAATCATAAGTAAGACAGCCCAAGTGCAGGGGCAAACTAAAAAACAAGGAACATTTATTATATACATTGCTCGCATTTGATTTTTGCTGGATTCCGATAGTATTTCAATGGACTACACGTGTGGTATCTGTGGACTTGTTTATATCAACCCTTAAGTAATGTATAAGAAACGTAGACGAAGGTGTCTAGCTCGTTATTAGCCCCTTAAGCCCTAAAATTGAGATTTTACTTAAATCGAATTGTCCTGAAGCTAAAATATCAGAAGCTTTTCTCACGCAGACTGTCGCCCTTCACAGGTTCTACATTTTCTGCTACTAGTACTGGACAGACGTTCGAATGCTTTCTTTTACTTCTGTTTTCCTCTGTTGTCAGAGAGTTCAGCTGTAGGAAGTTTCAAGGCTGAGGAAGCTTCTGGGGACCTGCAGCAGTGTTTCTTTTAATTGGAAAACTAAACGGTGTATTTTCCGAATACCGAAGGCTGGAATAAAAAATGTCAGGAAAAAGTATAAACATTCCTAATTGCGGCACTATTGCTGTGCATATTTTGGGCAGTTCAATATATATCATACAGGCAACTCGGGGCAATTCAACCGTTTTTGCTGCTACCATACAAACTAATTTCCAGTAGTTGTGCATCTTCTAAGAAATATGCTTGCATACGTGTATAAACTATATAATTAATTCACGAAGAAGCTACATTTATGTAAAACAACCCTGTTCCACGAGCACTTCAAAGATCATCACACGCAGGGCCTTTAATACATCTGCGAACCAGTGCATGCAGAGTGGCAGCGCAGAGTCGTGGTCGCGAGCTAATTTGCCGACCACCCAAAGGCCCATGATATCAATGCCACTTCAAATGCCTTGAAAGCGGGATGTAATATCGTTCCGATTCATGAACATGCAAGGAACAAAATTCCAGCGTCTGAAACACTTGCGCCACCGCGTCACCGACCCCTCGCAAGATTGTCTTGTGTCGTGTGGACGGACGGGGAGGTTCATCGGCGGAATTGCCTCCGCCGATAGCTTTCGGGATTTGTAACCCAATTTTAAAGGTAAAAGGTACGAGCAGGCTTATAAAATGTACGGAAGCGCGTCAGTATCGGCCTAACTCAACGTCTTGTACATCGGGTAAACGAAGTCCAGCTCCTCGAAGAGCTTGCGGCACACAACGCCAAACCAGGAAACCGGTGCTGGGAAGCGAGCCGATGCGAGATCGCGGAGCGGAGTCCTCCGCCTGACGTCACGGTACACCTCACCCAATCAGGGCGCGGCGACCGCAGCGACGCTTGTGTTCGCTCTCGGGGCTAATAGTCGGTGGCGGGTCAAAAACGAAGTGGGAGCTCCTCCCACCCCTTTCCACTTGAGCGGAGCCAACTATGGAGAGGAGGTCGCCTCCTCTCCAGCGTTCGCTCTGCTGAAGTGGAAAGGGGTGGGAGGAGCTTCCACTCCGTTCTTAACCTGTCACCGACTATAGATACTTTTATTTCTTACTAAATATCTTGGGTGCAATTTCCAGTAACCCATAACTGTGACAAGTTAAATTTCTCGGGTCTCCCATGAAATGAGGAAGGGCTTATACCTGCACAAGACTGCTCTAAATGGTGGAATTCTACCAGGACACTGTGGTTCAGATGTTTCTTAAATTCCTGAACAAGGTGGACAGACCATTGAACTGTCATTGATAGAACATATTTAGAGGAATGCAAACTTGTATGAAGACATTTTGGGATAGGTAAAGGACCCAGCAGGAGAGACTGGCTGGTGCCTTCCAGAGAAAGAATTTACATAAACCGTCTCTTCAGTAATGTTTTGTAACCAGGTGGCATCCGTAAAGCTGACATTGTTTCCAAAAGTGGTTTTGAGTAGTAGTTAGTTTAGTAGGGTGTATAGGGTGTAGGTTTGGCTCATTTTGTGCAAATGTGTAAACTAAGAAGGTATCAATGTCCTAGTCATTTCCCTTTGTTAATATACTACTAGGGCATTAGCCACAATTACTGTTATAAAGTTATTTACAGTTCATTATGTGTATATATTAAAACAAATTGTAAAGGGAAAAAAACAAATTTCAAGTAACTATCAAAGTACACCTTAAAGAAAGCATCCAGACACACCCTTGAATACATTTATGAAGCTACTTTTACAACCCTGATTGCAGGACACCTACTCAGAGCAGTCGCAGTTGCCTGTGGTCATGCTGCATAAGCTTGTCAGACAACTGGTTTTATACTAGTTACCGTATGTGCTCAGGTTTTGCTAATACATATTCAAAAGAAGGTTGCTGTAAAAATGCATGTAACAAATGTGGTGAGTGTTCTGCACACATGGAGAAAAATAAGTGCTTGATTGATGTTGGTGTGGCCATGCCTACATCTATTTTGCTAAAGTTCTCTCCATGGAAACAGTACCACAGCCCTTCTAGCACGAAGCTACCATGCAGCCCTACTACCCACAGTAATAAACAAATCAGGCAAGTGTAAATAGGACTGCATTGTTTATTACACATCATCAATGCCCTTTGTTCATTAGTAGTGCAGAATTACATCATGACCCCAGGACACAGTTACTCTCAATACAAGGTAAACATATTTAGAAACTTGACTCCAACAACATGTCAACAAGAAACAAGCATGATAAACATGAACTGCTTGCAATATGTTGTACCCTAGCTGCCTGCAACACCAACATTTAAACCATCAAATACAACAGTAATGGAACTGGAACACTGCATGCTTGCATTGCACTGAAGAACATGGAAAGCAGAGTAAATGTATCCTGGATTTATTTTTAGTCCCTCTTTCACTGTCTTATAGTGAAATATAGAAGTTCTGAATGTCACAACAGCGGGTAGCTATGCACGACAGCGGGTAGCTATGCACGATCGTGGCTACCATATTTTGTCGATGGCTGCTATATTCTTTTTTTCTACATTATGACAGCTACACCTGCCACTACAAACAAACGATGGAATGCAACAAAATAAAAGGTTGGCACGTTCCTTCTAGCACTTGCTTATTTTTCAGACCACAAAAGTTGACATCAAAATACTGATGACTGTCACATACAGCTGTGTATATGACCTTTATCCCACACAGCATTCGACATGTCACACATGCACAAGCACCAAATTCAAGAAGCTCTACTTCTTGAAGGTTGATTTTCCAGTCAACCTTTTTGACACAAAAATCACTATGCTGGAATGGACATTTACAAAAGAAAAGAGGGAAAGAAGGATGTATGGCAGAACGTGCCAACTAAGTGCAACAATTTGACGATTCCAGAGTTCGAGGTGATGGGTGCTTAAAAAATAAACTCTAGATCAACAACTTTCGTGGATTAAAACAATGCGGCAACATTGGCCGCCTTAATGTCTTTGAGCAACAACAAAAAAGAACAAATAAAAGCCACTTCAAATATATCGTCAACACTGCGCTCACATTGCGGTGGAACTGATAAGCATGATAGCAGGTAAAAGCCGCAATGTCCCGGTCAAAGGGTTTCAAGAATGGCTTAGAAATACTCGCCGAAACCTCGCCGCAACTTTTTGTAATTTGCACGGGTCGCCCTGCTCTATGTACCTTCATTGTCGACGCAGTAAACACGTGTCCCTACGGTCAGCATAATCGCGTGTCGCGTGGCTTTTGCGAGTCTGGCGCACGCCTGATGAAAGGGAAACAACTTTGTTCACGAGACGAGAAAACGACCACGAGACGTGTGAAAAGTGTGCCTGGAAGAAACGGGAATGTGCGAGGCACCTAGGTTCTGGTAACTCAAGCCCGCCATCATCACAAAACATACACAGCCCTGCCGCACGCTCCTGTTTAAGACTGCACTCCAAAAACAAACGGAGGTCTCTCGGAAAGCGTAGTTTTCCCCACACTTCCGGAGCTTTTTAAAGTGCAGCTCGTCGACACGAGCGTGAGCAGAACCCGTCGCTTTCCTCGCGGCTTCCGCACGCTGTAAAAGCGAAACTCGGCCTGATGCCGCTATGGGGAGGGGTGTGTGTGTGTTAAGTACGATGGGCAGTAATGCCAATGACACATGACTGACTAGTGGTAGCGGGGGTGGGAAAACAATGAGAGGGATCACAGAAAGCCTAGGAAGGTAGCAGGCCGCGAGCTGCAAGGGTGTCTCGCAGGCTATTGAAGATCTGCAGCTGTATCTCAGGCTTCATCAGGTAAATCTGCTGGAGTAGCTTTTGCTGGTTGGGAGCCCTGCAAAAAGCAGACGAGTGCAACATGGAATTATGCAACTCGCGGCTTTGGACCACACGTGCATCTAAGGTGTACAAAGAAATCTTTTTTTTTTTTTTTTTAATATTGTTGGTTGTTACAGGTAGTGCATTTGGTTACTGTTGCCTTATTAATTTTCACAAAGTCGAAACCCTGTCTAATCCTGTTGCTTGGTCCCTGCTCTGGTCCCTGCTCTGCTAAAACGAAATCCTGTCAGCATTCGGCAACAGATAGCATAAAGAACCAAACTTGACGACATGCTTTTCCGGGCTTGCTGCACAGAAAAAGTGTACTCCATCCCCCTGAAATGCGGAGCTGAGTACATAGGAAAAGCCGGCCAATGTATAAATGATTCATAAAATCGATCCTCATCCAGAACACAGAAAACAATGTTTCATCGGCCTCGGTAACCTTATCAAGATGGGAAATAGAATTCACCAGGCCTGAACTTAAAAAATATTGCAAGTACCCTAAAAACCACACGATCACTGTAGTTGGGCTGTGCCTCGTGGTTCTTCTTCCCGCTTTCCTTCCCCCTTATTACCCATCGTAGTTGGGATCTCGTTCAGGGTGCAATTTTACTGCCCAAAATAAACGTTGCTAAATGAAAGAATGTGGTTGTCCTGTGCTTGTCTTCCATGTTTTTTTCTTTAGATTTAAATGTCCCTGCTCATTACCGTACCCTTGCATAACCTAAGAAATATTCAGCACAATAGCAGTCTGAGTTCCAGGAGGATACATCAGCGAGTCAAACAGCCTCAAACCTCAACCTGTGCCAGACAACCTTAATGCAGAAAAAAAAGAAAAAAGAAAGATGTTTACAAATCTGTAATGCAAAACTAGAGTCTAGTTCTTGAGGGTGAGGAGGGGAGGGTATGACCACCCTCCTCCATACCCTCCCCTCCTCCTCCTTTTGTCCAACTCTCCTCCTGCCACTGGATTTGTTCATGGATGACTGACGTGACACAAAGTTGTGACGTAATTTTCCCCGCTATATTTAGGAGGGAAACTGAATAGGTTACCGGCGTTTGAGCCGGAAGTTTTGTCATCTAAGATGAGGCGTCACGTGACTTAAGGGGCAACACTGGTCTTGGAGCTTTTTTTCTTATTTTATGACCAAACTTAATGAAACTGCACAAGCTTATTCAGCATTTTGTGCTGATTTCATATATCTGGTCATTTTCTCAGTCAGTAGCACTGTCCTCAAAATAATTAAAACTTGCCTGCCTTTGTTTGGAAAAACGATAGAAAACAAACTGCTCAACAAAATATTCTTTTTAATACATGGCTAGATACTACGAAGTGTAGAGAATACAATGTTGGAAGCACTTTTAAGATAAACTCATTATTAGAGATTTTACCACACATTGAAGTTCAGTGCTCAATGCATGGCTAACAAGTAATATAGCAAAAAATCAAATAGAAATTTTTCTAGACTTATATTAAAAAATCTGCTCTCAACATTGTATGCTTCACACATTCAGCTATACATTTCAGGAACGGTTATATTTCTATCTGCTCTAGATGCTGAGATATCCCTCCTGTAAATTTTCAACGTGTCCAAAAATTGTGTTTTGTGAAAACAATGTTTTAGAGTCAACTTCAATGCACATACAGCCCGCATAGATATTTTAAGTTGATTTATAGCTCAAATATTCATTCACGAAATTATAAGCCTGGTAGATTCAGAAGAACAACAGCCATCGCCATTTTCAAAAGCATGCAGTTTTAGGAAGTTTTTGGCTCCAAAGACCCATGTCCCCCCTTAACGCTTCCGGTTCGTCCGGTGCCGGTCGCGGTTCATCCAGCTGCATCAAGAGCTCGTCTTGGCGTGACAGCCGTGCTGTGCTGTATTTGCGGTGATGATGGTTTGCTGCTCCGCAGTACACTGTTTTAACACGAGCCATAAAGGGCACAAGATGTTCCGGTTCCCATGGAAAAAAGAACGGAAGCGGTGATGGGTCGTCGCTGTTAGGCGAGGGACAGAGCAAAGTAGCCTGTGACAGCCAAGCGTTGGTGCCCGTTCATGCGCGGCCCATTTTGTTACAGGTGACCATGTGTTCTCTCTTCAAGTTTAGGCCGCATGAAATGATGGTTTTTACCAGACTTTTGACACCCAGAAAATGGTGTCGATCAATCCGCGAAGGGGTTAGCACGGCCTGTCGTACAAGGCATCTGCGAGAACGCACAATGCGATCTTGCAGACGTTAGATTGCTTACGATCTTTGCAGGCAATCAGTTCATTGCACAACGTTTCGTCGACAGCAGCAGCTCTGGAATGTATGGCTGTGTATGTGCTCTCAAGATTTATAGCTTGGTCGCTTTTCCCAATGTGGAGTAACTTAAAGGGGCCCTGCAAGGACTTTTTTACTGGTTCTTATTTTGCACCGAACCTGAGCGCACTGAACGTAGAAACTTATTGAAACTTTTCTTTCCTCGAAATTCGCTTTATTTTAAAAGTTATAGGCAAATTAAAATTACAAAAACAAGCAAAAAATAACCTCCCTCATGACGTCCTTGGTTGCTTGAGTGGCCGTGAACTAGAGGAGGCATAGTGAGCTAATCGATCGCTCACGGCTGCCGCACTCCCTGTCGACAACACGAGAGGGCGCCACTAAAGCATGTTCTGGATAGGCTGTATGCAGCGGGCGGCCAGAGCGGCTCTCATTGCATTTGCTGCGGGATTAAACACTAATTCGGCATGACACTTCATTGGCCACAAACGACAGCAAACACGGGGTAAAGATCAGTTCAGAATGGGAGCCACTTCGCGCTGCCATACCGGGAAACGGCCAAACCGCAAGGCAAAGCTTCTCGCCGAAAGCCTTTGGAACGCTCGCAGCCGGTCGGATCGTCCTGTCCATACGACTGCGGCGCCACCGCGTACATCCGGGACCTTTCCGTGTCGGCGCCTGATCCCACTACTCCTTTTTAGTATGCGCCGCCTTTTCCACCGCTTGGTGGCGGGTATGTTGACGAGTCATTTCTTGTTTCCGTGCTTTACAAACTGCATTCGTTTCTTTTTTGATCTAAAATACTGAACAAAAACTACTTTTATAGATGATTGAAACGGTTCGCGCCACTAATATTTTGCATTTCGACTAAAAATAATCTTTTAGCGGCTCTGACCAGTAGTAAGCCCAGGACCAAAGACGTCACATTTTGCGCGCTTGCGGTACCGCGGGTCGCCCTCGTCGGTTGAAGAGGTTTCTGCGTCATCTGGTCAAAATATGATGCACTGATATTTAGTTACTCTCCGTGCCCGCTGGCTTGCCCGAACCTCAAGAGACGTGGAAACGGCAAAAAAGGTAGACGCTTAAATATGATTGCAGGGCCCCTTTAAGAGCACTCATTAAAACTCGGCCAACGGATATCAACAGCATAAACCTGAACCTCAGCTCATTATAATGTAAATAAACAAAAGCAAGCAAGCAGAACCTACATCTTGACGAATAATGAAGAGGTCGTGCGACCCTGCGTAGCCCACATCAAAATCTTTGCATGTTTATATAAACTTTCTTACCCAACATCTCAAAAAAAAAAAAAAAAATGTGCAATAAATATGGCACACGGGTGACAACCTAATTGAAGTACAAAAACCGCACAAGTGTTTAAAAGCCAGGGTTCTAGCGTAATCCGATTTTGTCGAAATGAACTTTTGAACGGAGGTGTCTTTTCGATCGCACGAGAAAAGTATGCCAAAGCTCCGACCGGGCATTTCAGCTAGAAGCATCCCACGACGTACATTCGCGCCTAGTTCAGTTGGTGATGTGATCTAGCGTAAGCATCAAAAATAAAAAGCAATGAAGAACGCTGGGTCAAAAGAAAAACAAAATAGCTAATCTAGGCAGAGTTTTCAAGCGAAGATCCAAAAAGCGCGGCACCAGTGTAGCTTGCCACCGGCCGCACTCGCTCCGCGCTTTCATGGCCATTCTCAATGCTTCTGCGTACCGATTCCTACTTAACATATCCGTAGATGTAACTTCAGTAGCTAAGAAATTCGTAAGTCACCCAGCAGCAGAGAAAGCTGGCTCGAATTGATCGGGTTCAACAGCCGCACATGCTTCCATAGCTGCATGGCGCTGCGTCAGCTGCTAGCCACGAACCGGAAGTGAATAATACCCAGAGTGCTTTGCGGCTGCTGTCAAACGCCGGTCACCTATTGGTGTTGAGGTCACATTACTTTCCCCGCTAAATTTAGAGAGGAAATTTAACCCGCTAATTTCCTTGCTAGATTTAGCGAAAACATTTCCCGGCTAAGTTTAGCAGGAAAATTTCCCTACTAATTCTGGCGGGGAAACATCCCATAATGCAAAGCGCGTGGTTACGTTGACACCGATGCCGACAGCGCCGCCACTCAACCCGGGAACGGGCGCCTAAGAGCTGCGCTCTAATAATAAACAAGTGGTGCAACCCTACCTAATAAAACTGTGAAAGTAGACGTTCACAAAGGATGCCATCAGGATCTGGCAGTCGAAACGGTCCATTATTCCGCCGTGGCCGGGAATGATGTCTCCAAAGTCCTGAGGAAGCGGACGAAAACATTCAGTCGCACCAGGTGCAGCAAGGCCATACACATGAGAAGACCAGGCAGAGAGGCACAAACCTTTATCTTGAAAGCCCTCTTGAAACCGCTGGCAAAGAAACCCCCAAAGGGCCCGATGATGGAGCTGAACAGGGAAAAGCTCAGCGAGTGCAGCACAAATGGGTACAATGTAATGGTGGTCCTCAGGTGTAGCTGGAAAGGGGCAACACGTGTCCACTGTTAAAAGGGGAACTCCGCCGACATTTTGAGCTACCTAATCCAAAGGCATAATCTGAATGCGGATGGCTTCCCGATTCCGAAATGCTATGTCGTTCTCCCAGATTCCCACTAGTTAATTAAAAAAGTGATAATTTGTTTGCTGCCGGAACCCAAACATCGTTCTCCCTAGTTTTTCCCGCCGCCCAAGCGTGACGTCACTTGTGTGCAGCGAGGCGCGCGGCCGGCAATCGGGTACGCTGGCGCCCGCCCGCCTTTCTCACGTCTAACAGAAAAAGAACCTGGCCGTTCGTGCTGTTTGAAGCTGATAATTATCTATATTTGCACAAAGTATGGCCTTGGCCTACGTGCCCAACTATAAGAAAGTAAAAAAAAAATGAGAGAAAAATGGAAGCAATTGGAATTTTCATAAAACCGTTTTTGCAACTCGCTATGCTCAAGCCGCGGCTCGCTAGTTTCGTAATATCGCCAGTAAACTCGTTCTCCTTTTATTAGAAGATGGCTGGCGAAGAAAGGTCGAAGAGTCACGCAATACATTTTTTGACGAATTGCCAAAGCACCGCAGAAAATGCTCGGAATGTGGGTACAGATGCCGTACACGCTCCTATGACCTGAAGGAACATGCCATTTGTTTTAGATCTCTTGAAAAGTTGCTGTTGCAGGCGTCAGCACATGTAACTACTTATGTGGCATGAATATGCTCCTTGGTATTTAAGTAATTTAGCAGAAGATCTGTAGATTATTTCTGAAAAGCGCTTCTGGTTGATGCCATTTTCAGCGTTCGTGCGTGTGGCGCGTACATTGCTCGCCTTCCAAAGCAATGAACATGTTCATGCTGGGCTGGGACCTAAGACATGTAGACTGAGATTCTCGTAAACAATGAAATGTATAGAATAGAATGAACTGCATTCGTGTAGATCAGATGGCAGGTTACTGGTCATGAAGATTGTGTTAAAATGACGATTAAAAGAACTTCGCAACCACCAAGCCAAACATCAAGGTGCAATGGAATTCATTCATTTGTTTATTTTCTGTGCTCATGAACAGCTTGACGCCTTGGTAATGATGCACAACAAAATTTTCCCAGGTTAGTTAACACAGTCTTGAAAGCTACGAAATTTGGGTTAAAAACGTCAATATCTGCTCCCCCGAGGGTATTGTAGAAGTGTTGAATACAGCTCATGGGACTGGTTTGGAATGCGTATAAAATACACAAATACACTGTTCATCTCAAAATAAAGAATATTTGCTTGAAGATACAATAGTTCGTGAGGTAAAGAAAGACATCATAAATATTTTAATGAAAAATAAGGTAAAAAATGTTGCTAAAAATAATGTACCCATATTTTTTTCTCTTTACTTTTTGAGTAGAATGCAATGCGTTCAAGCACCCATCCACGAGAGCCCTTGGGAAAAGGGTAATTCTATGTAAGATTTTTTAAAATTAAGTTGGTTTAGCACAGTTTTCATCAGCTGTAAATCTGACATGCCTTCCCTCAACAACATCAATATTATTTTCATGATTAAAAAAAAACCTTTTCAGCCCTATATAAAATTTCTTTGCAATAGAATAAATTAAAAACGTTTTCACCACTTTTTCCGCAAAGAAAATTGCCCGCCAACCATTAAACAAACCAGGCAAGGCTCTATCATATTTTATTGGAGCTCGACATCTGCTCCATAAACCTCTGTAATAGCAGACAGGAATAGCAATATGTCAAAAGTCATGTCTAAATTCAGACTTGAACTTTGTTTAGACGTTTCACTTCTCGTCTTCAACATATCGGCCGCGTGAGTGGAACTCCGAGAGTAGCCCGAGCTAGATTCGACGTCCGAAACAAATATAGTGTTTATAAAAAAATAAAAAAAAAAATATCACTGAACCAGTTGTGAATAACAAATGTGACTGCAAAATGTCGACTATGGTGCTATAGTGTGTACTATTTTTGCCGATTTTATTGGCGCTCCTCTTTGGACAGATGTCGTAATGGTCACAGCTGGCTTGAGTATGCACTTGCTGCTCTTGAAGCTGTTCCAGCTGCTGAAGGATACTCAACTCGCGGCACGCGGCTATAAAGTATTCCGAGCAAAAGTGAAAATGTTTCACGTGACACTAGTTTTCTCGGCACACAGCTCGCACAAAAGCACCTTGACGCGGCTGGCCTCCATTGCTGCCGGGGAACGCTTTTTTCTTTTTCTCCAACGAAAACAAGGGTAAAAAAAAAAAGAAGCTTTTTCCCGGCACTGTTTCTATAATCTACCGCGGAGCAGATATTGCTACCCATTGCAAAGGAACTTTTAACCTTGAAGCTGCGGAAAAATTATCTCGATCGTTGGCGTCCGGAAAGCCACTTCGCGGGCCGCGGCTGCCCGAGTCGCTCGTCTGCCAGCACATTCGTGACGTACGCGGGTAGGGAAAAGTAGGGATTTTTCATTGTTGCCAGTAGTGAGTCGCCACCTGGAACCCTCGCGGCCGGCGCAATTTGAAAATTTAATAACTTCACGGGAAATTTTTATTTTCTTAAAATATTTTGGTTATCTTTTGAGAAAGGGTTATTGACGCGGTATGCAAATTTCCAGCCAAATCGAAGTCTACCAAAAAAATCGGCGGATTTCCCCTTTAAGGCATGTTTAGAAGAATGCATCAATGCTAACAATGCTCGCAGGCCTTTGCCACCTCGTCTTGCAAATGCTAAAGAGCACCTGCATGGTTCTGAGTGTACTGGAGTAATAGAGGAACTGTTGGATAACAAAGCCTGTGCGCCGTTTCTAGGGGACCACGGAGATAGCCAATCATTGTGATTGACAAAAGGAACCCAGCAACTTACTAGACAGGGACAACATCTTCACATGAAAAAGCTATTTGTACAGATCTGATTTACATGAAGGATTATTTTCTTGACATCATTATATACTATGTTTCTTACGTATAGCATGACGATCGGCCATATCTGTGCCCAACGGGAAAGTGGACGTGCGAGCATTGGCCATGAAAAATGTGTTGATTACTCGAGTATATACAAGTGTGAGCACTGGCGTTCATAGCATGTTCGAGCAGGAATTGGTGCCTGATCTGATGCATTGCGAGGCTGCTTTTAATTGTCACATTAGCCAAGTATAATTGTTTTTTTGTCCCCAAGTTGTTGAGATTATTGACAAATATCTTCACTGTTAATTGGAATTGGATTCATCCCAAGATACTGCAGCAAACTCATTACTGAATTCATAGCCTAAGTCTTGACGACCGTTAAGTGCGGTGGGCTCTAAGACAAAGGAATGAATGTACCTTTTTCGAATATGCACAGTGCCTTCAAATGTTATGCCTCCACATGACTGCCCATTCCTAGCACTTTTGGTCCTAGTGGCTTCAGTTACAACTAGCCAATCACCTTCCAGCTGCTTATTCACTGCCCAAATTCAGCTGGCCCAAAGAATGACCAATTGCCGAGTTGCCGACAGTCACCCAGTATTTTTGCAGCATTGTAGTGACCTTAAAGGGGCGATGCAACAATTTTAACGTCGAAAGAATTTGTGGTTTTAAATTTTTACATTGTTTAACTTGCCAAAAGGAATGGAGAAACCGCCTCATTCTTCTGAAATATCATGAATCCGTTGTGTAATAGCAAAAAAAAGAATGGAAATATTTTGTGATACGCAGCCGCTTGGTGGCCTTTTGAACTAAGGCATGACGCGCAATGGGTACAACGTAATAAGTTGGCAAGATGTGCCATATGTGCTCAATCAAATGCTATATTTGATAAATATTGTTGTTTCAACATGAGTAAATGCATCAAAAACTTCAAATATTTAAAAAGTTGTACCATATTCAATTTTAGTGGTGCCATCTGCTTGAGGTGAAAAAAAAAAGAAAGCCGTTTACAACCCCCTGTAACGCCGAATTAGAGCGCAGCACTTGAGGAGGAGGAGGGAAGGGTACTGAGGGTCACGTGCATTCGGGGGGGGGGGGGGGGGGGTCACGTGATTTCACGGTTACGCCGACGGCGACACCGCTCAAGCCGGAAACGAGCACCTAAGAGCTGCGCTCGAAAACTGTTCCTCCCTTGAGCCTCACCTTGTTATGCGGGCTGAGGCTCAAGAAGGCTTACCAAAAGGCAAGCTCTTTGCTCTCCCCCCCACTCCCCTTCTCTACATCGCACAGGCAAACCCCCAAGGTCGCCATGTGAATCCCAAGCAGAGGCCGCGCTTGCTGGGGGCTCTGAAAGAGAACCCAACCGCGGATCCTCCCTATCCCCACTGCACGTCACGGCGCACGTGACCCGACTCTTAAGAAGGTGTAAGAGTTGAGAGTGGTTTGGAAGCGTCCAAAACGTCAAAAGTTTGGCTTTTCCTTTTTTTCTAAATAACAAAGGTGCATAGGCAAAATCTGTTTTTCGTTTTCTAGTCCAGACGTGACAGCGAACAACTACCACAATTATTTGACAGAAGTCGAAAACATTGTTGCATGGCCCTTTCTAAGTATGGGAGCTGCAACGAATACTCACTGAAATTAAAGAAAATGAGAAAAGTTTGATTGAAAGTATGTGACACTTCTCCATGCAAGATGTTCAGTTACAGTAGACTCATTAATTCAAACTCTAGGAAATCACGAATGTTGTTTGAATTATCAGAAACTCATCTAAATACGATGCAAGATAAAGCTGTTATGTGTTATATGGACGGCTACACATACAACACAGATATTTTATGATTTCCTCTACAAGGCCTATTAATCATAAGCAGGCATGCCATGCCACATATGAAACATTGGTGAAATGTATGAGATATGTTTAATCATCCCTAAAAGGTTGTTCATTGTGGACTGCTTAGACAGCACAAGACACCTCAACACAAAATTAAGTTTGTTATCTAGCAAAAAAAGTAGTCTATCGTAAACTATTAGCCCTATAGAGTGTGCTTCTTACCGAGCACCGATGCACTGCAGAGAAGCAACATTTGCAAAAATGCCCTCTGTGGGTGTTGCTTCTCCGCAGTGCACCGGTGCTCAGTAAGAAGCACGTTTAACAGGACCACAAGAACAAAAAGTATGGATTACACGAAAACAATGTTCGAATTAAATGGCTTGTAAATACAACAAAAACAGTGGGGCAACCAAAATTTTGAAATTTGTTTGAATTAACCAGAAGCAGACTTGTCCCCGTTACTTCAAAAAAGTAATTAATTACAGTTACAATTACTTGGCCTAAAAATGAATGGATTCCCATTATAAATTACTCCCCATAAAAAGTAATTGATTAATTACTTCGTTACTTTACTCAATTACTTTGCATTACTCCAAAGAAACACGAAAAAGAATCACTATATACTGCGTGTTTGAGGGGGAAAACTTTGGGTGCCATAAAAATTAAAACAAAAATAAAACACATTCAGTACTATCTACTCATTACTTTAGGTTAATAAATTTAGGAGAAGGAATCTATCAAGATTTAAAGGACTTCAACAGGTGTTTGAGATAAATGAGTCCTGTGCTGTCCAATTGGGACAGAACTAAATCCCATGAATATGTGACGAATGCTTACTTATCAAAACCAAAACGTCACACGAAATATTAATGCACAATCTTTCAGTTGAACTGGTTTTGCCATTTAGAAATTATTAAAAAGCACAATTGTCAGTGAACAGCATGCTTCTATGTCTTTCACACATATACAGGCAGCTTCTGAACTCCACTGTCCCAGTGAGTCACTGTTTATTCTCAGAAAACTCGGGCTGTGTTCCCTTTCCCTAAAATTTTGGTCTAAGTTCCCACAGGTGCAATCCACTGACGAGATCCCTAGAATTCTCGTTTCTAAGAAGTGTTCTGCTTTAAAGTTCCCAGCCGTTTTGGTTGTGTTCCCCAGCGAGCTTACTGCCTGCTGTCAAAAGTTACTGTTAAAACTGACAGCAGGGCCGAAGCTACATTTTTTTTTCTGTTCCAATGAACTGCTGCCATCGCACTCCATGCTTTCGCTTACGCATCCTCTAGTGCGAAGTCAGGTGACAGAAGCCACATAGCTGTATGGTCCTGCCTGTATTTAGCTTTCACGGTGCTGTCAAGGATCAGCAGGGACGAGGTCTCATTAGAGCTTTTTCTGTGTTTGAGGGGTGGGCATGTCTAGGCAGAAACATCACAAGCAAAGGACGATTTCGTCTGTAAAAGAAAAAAAACAAAAAACGATTTGTTTGTGGGGGACAGGGCGCGGAGGAAAGAAGGAGTGGGGGTGGGGGGGGGGGGGAGTAAAGAGCGGACATATGCTCTACAGTCCTACTCGACACAATCCCCACGCGACGGTTTAATGGTCCATTATTTTTCTGCTGTTTAGCACACTCGAAACAGTCCATTTGTTTTCCAAGAAGTCGAAGCCTGTTGCCTTTATGTAGACAGTCGAATCCTCCCAGCCTGGCTGACCGTACGAACGAGTCTAGAAACGGACTTTAGCTGGGCTCTCGTGCTTTCCGTGAATTCCTTTCCTTTCCCTCACCAGCACTCCCTTTGCGAGCGAACCATTGTCTTGTGTTACCATGCTAAAAGTGCAAAGGCCATTGCATTGCTCTTCTTCCACTCTATTTCCCCCTTTGATGGGACGGAAGAATTGTCACGAGTAATTTCAATAATTTGTTACTGAAAAAGTAATTAATTACATTACAAATCACATTTTAAAAAAGTAACAGATTAATTACTAGATTACAAGAAAAGTAATTAATTACAAGTGATCCCGTTACTTGTAACAGATTACTTTCAAGTCTGACCAGAAGTATGAAACATCAGAGTTTGAATTTTAGCGAGCCTACTGCATTTCATAATCAACTAAACGAAAAAGAATGCCAGGGGTGACGGAGGATGAGATGGCTGAAGGTTAGCATCGCAACTGACCAGATGGCACAGTGTCTCGATGAATGCTGGGAAGCCATACTCTGTCGGCTGGAACAGCGGCGAAGGATCACAGTCCATGGTCATGCGTTCCAGCTCGTCGGAGTACTCGATGGGGCAGACGAAGTATTTGAACTGGCACAGGTACTGCGAGATCTGCACAAACAAAGAGCTCCATCAGCCCAGAAGGACCACACAGTCGCGAGAGTCCTCGCAACAATTCGGGCTGACCACGGCAGACTTACGCAGGCCCCGAAAAAGACAGTTGCAATGCCTCCTCCTATGAAGCCCTCCCAGGTCTTTTTAGGAGACAGCTTGATCAGTGGGGTTTTGCCAAAGAAGAAGCCAAACAGATAGGCCATGATGTCGTTGCACACTATCATGGAAACTGGTGCAATGAACCTGAAAGGAGTTGCCTTGGGTAAGGGTGTGCCCAGACTCCAAAACTCATTCTTCTAAGTAGACAGAGTAAATATTTGGAGAGTCAATACAGACGCCTCAATAGAGTACTCAATTCCGTATCTGCTGCTAAAGCAAGACCATTGCCAATCCACCATTACGGTGGTGGTGAAAATTGCTCAGAAATGTCACAAAGACTAAGAAACTATGGCACATCAATCCTCAGTTTGATAAAAGTTGAGTGATGTCAACAGTTCCTTGTACAATGTTGGAAGCATAATTCTAGCACTTATTGTTCAAAAGTGCACAAAGAGAGAATATACTACTCTGTAACACTTCAGCTCATCAGAACCAAACAAAAGCAAACTGAGACAAAGTAGATTCTGAGCAAAAATTAATATAAATCCCTCATAAGCACATGCTTGTATGCTCTTTCTTAGGGACATGCCACAGTGGGAAGTCACACGGTACAGTGAAAACGTGCTGCAATGCCCTAAACATTGTGACAAGGAACTTACCAGATCAAACCTTCAAACATGTTTTGAATGAGGAAATAAGACTGGGTGACAATGATGACCAGTGTCACATGGGTCCAGGCAAACTAGATTTTTGTAGAGATGTGAAAGAAAATCTGCAATTAGTGACCAGGGGAGCTCTTGTGACCCAACAACACCCCCGCCACTCACAAGAGAGAACTGACGCATGTAGTACTTCTTGACGAGGCTGAGTACGAACCAGATGAAGCCAAGGAGGTACAGGCAAAAGGAGATGAAGCGATGGTATCGCACCAGTGGCTTCAACGAGTCCTTAAAGGATCACAAAGAAGAGAGAAAAGCTTAACACTCCCCTCAATGGATGTGCAAGATCTTTGAAAAACTTGTCAGGTATGTTGATAAGACATCAGCTGTATAATCATTAAAAAAACATATTTACAGTTGATGCAATGCCTATAGTCCTACTTCCTTTGCATTGTATTTTCCTTCCCGTCAAACACAAACATAATGAGCAATTAATAAAATAACTGAAGAGGAATGTAACTGTTCCCAAGTTGACAATATGGAAACCAACTCCACCCTCCTTCTTCTAGACATGCATCTTACTTCTATTTTCAACTGGAGAGCAGATACTATAACAGCAACAAAATTAAATGGGTAGACATAACTTCATTAATCAGTCAGCCATATCATCAGTGTCTCATGACTGAATCACTAGATCACTTGGAACATGACTTCAAAGGGCAACTCCGCTCAATTCCGAAAATGTCGGGATAATGAGCGATTTCACATTAAAAAGCACTAATAATAGACACTAGGTCATTTGCTTCGCAAAAATCAGGATATATATATTGTTAAATCTTACTTTAAACATGAGCGGAAAATATAACCAAAACTTCGGGCCCGTCTGGCAACATTGGCCTCGGCAACATGGCTATCATGTGGTAAGAAATGTCACATGATCCTCTACGCAACGACAGGCAGAATAAGGGTGGGCCAGCAGGACACCGTTGGGACGGGCGTGTGCCAGACACTCTGCCAGGCGTAAGTGTCATCTGCACCGCATTCTCCACCACGTTTTGGTGCCTATTACATTTGACGACGTTGGGACAACTGCGGCATCAGTCTGCGCATGCAGTGTGAACGGAACTCCGAGAGACAATAAGGAGTTTTTGTAGATCGTTTTGGCAGTCCCGCAATGCTCTCCGCAACCGCAACATTCTCTGCAGGCGCAGTAGCGGCTTCTTTGTTGCGAAGGACTTAGCGCAAGGGGGAAATGCAGTCTACGAAAACTTCCTAATAATCACAAACGGTGAAATGACGACGAGGGTTGAGACGTGGGAGACGACAGTAAGGGCGGGATAGCTGAACGGCTCCCAAAAAGCGTGCGCAGGCACGGTACACCCATCACGTGGACACCGTTGAGCGACGAAAGGATGCGTTGCCGACGTGACCCGTTACGCTTGCCTGGAGAAGTAAAAACAAACAAAAAGGGGCAATGATGACGTTTAGGTCAATGTTGGGCATGCCAATGCCACAGCCTTGACTGCGCTGTTGGTTGCGCCAGAATTCGCCCACTAGACTCAGCTGGTTTTGACAATTTGAAGCGTTGCAAAGTTTGCCGGACCGTTTAAAAAACATTTAGACAGAACTAGGTCGTAATATTTGACGTTTGGACTTCCTAGGTGATGCTGAAGAGGACTGCATTGTGTTTTCAAAAACAAAAATGAAGCGGAGTTGCCCTTTAAGAGCATGCTTCAATGAGGTGGTAAGCTGAGTGACTTGGTAATCGTTAAACATATTGAAAAAGAGCACACAAAAAGTCTATTTGTCCCGTAACCCTTCGTCCCAACCTTTTGTGGACTATTTTTTATTATGTTTAAACTCTTTGCCCTCTTTGGTATGAGGCAATTACTAAAAGAGGTAGGATGACATTAAGAGCGTGACCACTCCCAACGGCTACTAACCGTCCGGCTAACGAGCACTCCAAAGTAATCCACCAGGCTTTCTCCGTAGAGGAAGTAGTTGGACGTGATAAGGAAGTACCAAGAGAGCGACCTGAACCAGGGGAGCCCGTGTACCCTGTACACCGCATATCCAATGGCAATAATCTCTTGGAAGCATTTCACTTGAATGGCTAAAGTCTGCAGAGAAAGGTGCACAAAAATTGAGCAAGGCACATGTCACGGAGCCCAACACTAGATGCTAGGGAAAGGCTGCGACGAGTAGCCGTGGGTCCGAGAGGTGCTTACGAGAATCATTAGAGCCAGGGGGCCCATCCATATGATAAATGCAAATCCTCCAACCATGACAAGGGAGAAAATGCCCCTCACAACCCAGTTCCTCCATCTGCAGAAATAAAAAATAAAAGGGATGTGTGAAGCATTACTAGTATAATAAGGTAGCACAGAGATCAAAGTCCAGAGGCTCTTTGAGGTTTGTTGCTTTGAGAAAGTTCCACTAGTATTACTGTAATACTAAAATATCTTGTGCCTGTGTATGCAGGACATGGGAGCCGTTAATGAACCATGCAGATGCTGAGCATGATGCAAAAATGCAATTCCACAATAGCGCAGAAAGAGGGTTAGCCACACTCTGGGAAAGTGCAATAAATATTATTTGTAAAGAATTTTCTGAAAGCCAGAGTTTAAAGGCAAAGGATGCCACACGTCAAGAAGCACATTGCTGAGGAAAGGAGAAGAGGTTCCCTCCTTTCTAGGACAGAAAACTGTGGCTGGGTTTTCTATTTTTTTTTTTTTTTGTTACTTGCATGTCAATCTTTAAGCTAGGGAGAGAGCAGAGGCTGATAGACTTTAGACATATAGAATCTCACCGAAACACTGAATTCAGATCTCTACATCAAAGCATACCACATCCCCATTTGATGTTACATTGTGAATTGAGGATATCACATGTCCTCTTGATTTGCAGGAAACAGGAGGGGTGGTACAAAAGTAATACCTCCAAATTGTTTTCCCACAAAGTATGGCATACTTATTAAAGATATATGCAGGGGTAATTGCTATATTTTTTTTCCACTACTTTGTTATTTCTTAATAAAGTCTATTAATGTATGTTCTTTTTGTTTTTGCTACAGCTAAGGAATATGCTTAACTCGAGTCTAGAACAGTACTGGCCTCAATTTCGGAGACTGCCACGCCAATGCCGCCTGTATACTCTGTGCATGTCAGAAGCGCAATCCAAGCCCATCGTAGCTTCTCTTTTTTTTTTTCTCTTGCCCTACTCTCCCTTTTCTTCCGCGACGGCATAAGGGGGCGCTGCCTGTGTAGGACTGAAAAGATGACTCGGCCAGCTTTGCCAGGCGACGAGTGGGGGTGGTGTTCGAGCTTTCGTCGCTCAGGCATCAAGGTTTCGCTCTCAATCAATCATCCCATTAAGGTTGATCTGCATAAAAAGGGGGAGAAACACGAGAAGTGTGCACAGCTATTCGATAGGTTGATACCCCGTGTGCGTGCTGTCCTGAAAGAACATCCAAGACTTGAGAAGCCCCTCGCAGAGCTACTGAAGGTAGCTGCACCAGCTGTCGCCTTTAGCCCGCTCCTGAGGTGTAAAGCTAGTGAGGACGAAGCTCACCGCAAGCGGTTTGCAGAACTCGTGAGCAGAAGGTTCATAAGCTCACACCTTGTCAACCATGCCTTTAAGGAGAATGAAAAACATGATGTTTACAAGGCTTTTGCAAAGAAGCCGCTCTCGCGCAAGTATATGAAGTTGTGAGATGAGTAGCAGCGCCATTTTCTTGTTCTTACAGTATTCATTTTTGTTAAAAGATGAATAATCTCTGGAGAAGGGGAATGAGGGGACAAACAAAATCTCCATCAACAGCTCATTTCCCTTCTCCAGGGATTATTCATCTTTTAATATTATCCAGCTCACCTGCCCCCCGGCATTAAATGCATTAACTTAATCTTTGTTTCAGTTATTAAAAACATATTCCTGTTGAGGCATAAAAGTTGGAAGATTTATTTTGTGTTTTAAAGTTTCAGACTGCACACTATGTGTCTTTTGGATCGCTCCAGTCAAAAATGTGTATTGGTATATTTCTGCATCTGTTTATCGGGCAAATGTGTTATTGCTTTCATGGATATTTCTGAATACAGTCAAGTACGACCCACGTAAAGCACACCTTTAATGAGTAGAATAATCCTAGAATTATAGCAACATATCTGGAGCACACCATTCCAAATCGCTCAAAATCCCTGAAACCAACCTTTATGACTATGTAAACTAGGATTTATCTTGTGTCTAGCTGGAGGCTTTGAAAATGTGGAGAGACGAAGCATGTTTATAATAAACACACTGGATGTGTATAAAATCTTTGTAAAATGTCTTCCTGTTCATTTCTGTTTCTTCCAATTTTTGAATATCTGTTTTTTTCATTTCTGCTTAGTTGACATTCATCACGGTGTTTCTGCCAGTTTTCTTGAAGAGTCGCAGGTGAAATAAGTGCACAGAGCCTACAATGAAATTAATGTGTTTTAATCTTAATTAATCTGCACAAAAATTTTGTGCAGACATTTTGGGTATGCCAATATTCTAAGTTATGGTGGCAATTAACAGACACAAAAGAATATTTTCGATTTGTTTAAACAGTAAACAACCTGGCTCCTAAATATTACCACTTGCTAGCATTTTTTTTTTTACATCTTTGAAATTTGGATATTTGCAGACACGCAAAAGGTACTAGTATTTAGTATTATATTGCCTCAATTATGCACTAATATCCACAGTTCATGATGCCAAGACTAAAACACGCATTCAAAGGCGTCCAACGTGATACATTAAATGCACAGGTTCTCTTGTTCTTCCAACAGCTCTTCCAAGACCACCCAAAAATTTCCTAGCCATTGAGGTGCAAGATGCTTTTAGGGGCAAAGTCCGTGCTCACATCGATCTTGCTGGTGCTCAGACTCATGCTCGTGAGCTCACGTGCTCACATGCTCGTGTAAATAAAAAAAAAATGATGAGAACAAAAAAATGTTTGCGCAGTTGACAGGATTTGAATCTGTGCGGGGAGACCCCAATGGATTTCTAGTCCATCGCCTTAACCACTCGGCCACGACTGCGGGACGAGTAGGGGGCTCTGAGATGTGGTAGTAACTCAAGAGCTGGGGATGTCATGGATGAAACGTTGCATGTAGCCGCTCAACGTCTATACAGGAGAGGGCGCTGCGGTCAAATGCGTATATAATCGCGTTAAACTTTGCATGAATCGGCTCAACGTTTATAGACGAGAGGGCGCTGCGGTCAAATGCTCAAATGCGTATATAACCACGTTTCATACCACACATTCTCTTTCCGACATGGATGAAAACGAACGAAAGGCTCGGCATGCTGCGGCTCAGCGTCCACGCAGACAAGCACCACCAGAGCTTCGCCCCAATCAACATCATTCACCACGTGGAGATGCGGTCAATTTTTTTTCTGCACATTTCATTTACACAACTAGAAGGACGCACGTGGTGGATCACATGCTGCACAGGCTGGCGTTTGAAGCGGTAACTTTGAAGCAAAAATCAAATGGCACGTATCACATGCTTTCGTTGTCGCCTTGTTTTGACATTATCATACATTCTAATATTTCCTACAGAACATGCGAGCTTGTGTAACTACCCCCAGCGCGCTTTTTGATGCCTGTGTAATTTAAAGAAATCTATACAAATTTCTAAAATATGGCGACGACTGCTGCAGACGCCAGCTCGTGTACTCACAAGCTCATCGCCCTAAAGCGCTCTTTGCTGCCCCCAGTTCGGTCATCTACTAGCGATCCTACAGACGTGGCGTCCTCACCACGCTCAGCGTACAACAGCGGGCCCCCATTTTATTCGGCGCCGATTGCCGGGCACAGAGTATACAGGCGGCACTGGCCACACACAGCTAGAGCTACCCCTCGTCTAAAGAATGTCATCTTTGGAATGTGTCCTTTAGTAGACCAAACAAGAATGCCATTTTCTGGATGATGACAAGCTGACACAGTTTGTCATAATCTATGAAGTCGAGGTCAACACAGCAATGAGACACATAAATAAACATAAATAATAATAAAATAATTGAGGAATTACTGAAAAATTACCAAAGCTCTGTGAAGGATGTCCATGCTCCCTTGCATTCATCCATATCAACATGGATTACTGCTCGACAGAATGATCCCGATTAATACCATTAAGAAATAGGATCAACTTTGCGAGAATATAAAAAGCTTTGGAGGCATTACTTTCGTAACGCCCTTGAGTGAGTGAAAGCAATGTTTATTATATCTTTTCTTTGGCAAAATCGACTGTTGCCTGTGCACTTAGTGTGCACATGTCACTGTCGATAGGGAAGGTGACTGGGTGAAAAAGAAAGGAAAGAAAGAGAGAGGATTAGGTTTGAGGGGGAAGGGAGGGGGGGAGCGAGATGCAGGGGGATGTCCTGGCCATCGCCGGCATGTCGAGTCATAGAACGACCCAAGCCTCAGAACGCAAAGCCTGTCGAAGTTTGATGTGGAGCCCTTTGTAGTTGAACACTCAACTGAGAAGATGCGTAATGCATTAGTATCAATTTACTTTTTACTGTAGCTTTGTATTACGGTTTCTGTTCAATATTCAAGTGGTGGCTCCTCCTCCCGTCTTGTTACATAAGAAACTCCATAAAGTGACTGATAACGTAAAGCATTCAAAAGTGAGCTATTGTCTATTTGAGGGCACTAGGCATCTGGCTTGTACAAATACATAGGCAGTAGAAGGTAACTCTTCCAAACTTTCATGATTAATGTAGAGCCCAAGTAATTTTTTTAAGTCTTATATTTGCTGTTGAATAATGTGAGGGTGATGCAGAAATTATCTGTACCCTGGCTGGGGACTTAATTTTAATCAAAACCTTTCCAAACCCAAGCCTGTCATGGATTATTGCATAGGCAAAGCCTTGGCTGATTTGCCAATGACCTGCCGCTTGTTTATCCAACAGCATCAGTTTACAGTTAAGATGCATGCTCAATGTCCTTATCAGTTGTGGACGTGCGTCCGCCTCCTTCTTTAGCGCTGGAACTTGTGTGTTCCTTCCTTGAACTTCTGTATTTATTCAAATCAGTGTCGGGTAAAGTACATCTAAAAGGTACTTAAAGTGAAGTACAAAGTAAATGATAGGTTACATACTTCAAGTAAAGTAGTAAGTACACCGGGCACAGTGTACTTGAAGTGAAGTACTACAAATACAATGTACTTCCAGTAAAGCAAAAGTACTTTAACACAGCCTTTCATGATGCCCTTACATTCCTTTAAAGTATTTTTTTTTTGTTTAAACTGGTACTTATAGCCCCAGAACTAATCGGAGCTGCTTTAGTTATTTTAAGAAATGGCGGCGAATATTGGGGCAAGTAAGTGGCCAGAGTGTAATTATTTTTAGAAATGTCGTCAAATTCAGAAGTTTCACTGACTTCTGGATTTGCCGCCGGCTGCACTGGCTTGCACCCAAGGGGGTTAAACGTAACAGGAGGGAGTATGGCGTCAGCCCCATAGCTTCCTCAAGCAATTCTCTAGTGGAGTAGTGTCCTCCCCAAATATTTTTTTAGCTCCTCGCTTGCGTTCACCGAGCGCGAAATAATGAGAGAATGCTCTAATGCTCTGGGAAAGCTGCCCCCAGTAAAAACGGAGAAATACATTGTCTGTTTGCGTTTCTGGTGAGAGTAGAATATCCCTCCAGGTATTTCTTCAAAGTTGACAATACACTGGCCCTTCTGTGATACAAATTTAACAAGACCAAATTTGGGGAATGTACCTTGAAGTCGGGAGTTGTACTTTCCTCGGAAAGTACCAGAAAAAAAACCTTTAAGTAAAGTACAAGCATATACTCAGAAAATGTACTTTAAGTGAAGTACACATTTTCTAAACCTACTTGAAGTGGTATTTAGAGTACTCCTAAACACTTATTCAAACACTTCTTTGCAGCAAAGTACTTCCTTCTTACTGTACACTAAATCTTCTGTAAATATCAACACCAAACACACTCTACAACCACAAAAATAAAATAAACAATGGTGCAGCCATTCTTTCTCTTACCCCAGTCACAACTCAACTGACTTAACATGTCCAGACCATAGAGTTATTATAATGTACGCTAGAGGTTCAAGTGGCGCTAGTGTGCTGCTGCAAATTGAAGCAGACAGCAACCAGTCGGAAATTGACTTCCGGTAATGCATTTTTATGAAAAAAAGCGAGTGCATTTTCTCGCTGTGCTCGATTATCAGAGCAAATATCACGAATATTTCGTACGTACTGGCACATTGGAACATTTCTCAGTCACGCAGACGAAATAACTGGTCAGTTACAGCATTTTTATTTGAAATTCGTGGCATGAAAAACGGTGTTAAAACCGCTTCGTGCGTGTATTTATGTGCACTGTCGGACACTGTTAGCGCGAACACGGCGTCGGCGCTTTCCAGCATGGGGGATATACGTGCCAAAACGAACGAATTACATGTGAAAAACCAAGAGAGACGGCAAGAACTACGCAGTAACACTGGATAAGTAACTCCTTATGCATGCAGACGATCAAAATAAATTGAAAGCCACGTAATATACTAGTAGTCAGATATGCAATAAATAAGTACTGCTTTATTCTTTCTGCTCGTGAATATGTGCGAAGATGCTTGTTCTGGGTTCAAATCATCAGCCAAACGCTCCAAATCTTTGCAAATAGGGAGAAGCAGAGAACAGGTTCCTGATTAAAACTGCCGGACATAGGAAATAATGAAAAGACACACCTTTCGTAGCCCACATACTTTATTTTTTTAACAGATCGTCAAGATGCACGACGGAGTCATTTTCATATGCTGAGTGACAGAACGGGCATATTAGCAATATATAAGTGCCACCGGAATGCTAGCGAACCTTGAACGCACTCTACATTCCTTTCGATTGTTATTTTGCTTAGAATCGTTGCTCATTTTTACATACCTGCCATGGAACAGAGGTTAGGGCCTGAAATATAGTGAAGTTTAACATCGTTCAATAGTAAAGAAAAATGCTGTAACTAAAGCAATTACACATTCACCATATCAATAAAGGTACATACTATCCGGTACAACTGAAATAAGAAGAGTTATTCGTGTTATTTTCCGGCGAAGATACAAAATTCACGCGCGTTTTCCCATAGGGATGCACAGGAGCACCGCAAAAGTAGACTGGTTGCCGTCTGCTTCAATTTGCCTCCCGGAAGTCGCATAGACACTAGCGCCAGTTGAACCTCTAGCGTACACTATAATAACTCTATGGTCCAGACTTGCACAAGAGTGATTGGAGAGACAGCGACCTCGTACGAAAAGTGCTAGTAAGACAGTAAAGTCAACAGAAGTTTTGACATATTCAGAGTGCAGATAATTTTTTAATGACCCTCAAATATATGACTTTATCAATGCATCTTCACCACAGCCCTAGTCATCTTTCTGATGAATGCGAAACTTAGCCACGCAACTCTGTGAACAGACATGAAATGAACAGGTTGACAAACCTCTTTGGGAGGCTGCTCAACACGTTGTCCAAACATGCGTTTGTCTCATCCGACGCCTGTGGCAGGTCCTTTGTGAGTGCATCCACCTGACTCTCTTCGGGGAACTTCTCGTCGTCCGAGTCAACCACGTTTGTCGTCTCTCCAGTTTCCTTGTGGGGCGAAACAAAAGAGAGAGCAACTATGCAGACGTTTCCTAAAAAACAAAATCTGCCAGAAAAAAAAAAAAAAAGTTTTTGAGAAGCTTCACACAGACAGCTGATGTTTCACTAAGAGAGTTAGCTTCAGAGCTAATCTTTGCTGCGTCAACTGTCCGTCTGAAGTTTTTTTTTTTTTTTTTTTTTTCCTGAGGAGTTTCTTCGAACCTGTGAGGTGGTGAGAGCTGCTGTTGTGCGTACAGGCATAATTTCCTGTTTCGTGAACACAGTATCAATGCGGACGAGCGCCGCGTTCAAACCGGACGAAAAGAAGCTTTACTCTCGTACGACACAGCTGTAGACACCTCGTCGACTTTATTTGTTGGATCCCAAATTTCCTTTCATAGGACTCCGTGCAGTGTCCGATTATCTCTCTTACTACGATATCCGAAACGTGAACAGGATTTTTAAACAGCTGTGCTAGGGAGTTACACAAGAATTTCGTGATTCTGGAGTGCACGGCGTAAGCACATTGTCTTTTGCCACGTGGTAAACAAACCTGTATCTGCAGATCGTTTATCTGCAGCGATTTCAAGCGTCGAGCCCTCGGCGTCAGTAAAAGCTCCCGTTTACAAGATAGTACTAGCACACTGTGTCAGCAGCAGCCAGCATCTTTTCTTTTTCTTCTTTTTTTTGCGGCTTCCTACGACGCGAGTCACACGGATTGGGTCGAAATTTAAACCACAAAGTCCCGAGTTTAAAACATCACGGAAGAGATACTTCGAAATGGTTTCTTCTAAGAGGAAAAGCGAGCGAAGGAGCAAATAGGCTTATCTGTCAAAAAAAAGTGTTTCCGCTTTTTCTTTTCATTTTTTTTTTTTTTTTTTTTTTTCGGGGTGCAGGTAAGGAAGTTTGGCACGCTGCAAGCCGGCCACATTTTCACGATTTCCAAAAGGGCGTAGTGCCGACCCTTAAAATGCGGGCAAACCGTTCACGGCTCGACGCGGCCCAGCTTACCTTGGCGGAGGCAGCGGAGGCATCTTTGGGCTCGCCGTCGGTGGTGGTTCTCTTGCGGAGCTCCGACATGGCTGGTCGCGGGCGACACAGGTGTTACGACGTAGCGGTGTGCTGCACGCAGGTGTGCAGTGCCGGGCAAGACGTCTGCCGAACCTAGAAACGAAGAAATTTCCTTCTCAGCAGCGAGCGAGCACCACCACCGTAGATCACTGTTTGTTTACATCGATCCACTCTCCGCAATCATAGCAAACGCCGGCGCATGCTCAGAGGAGGCCGAACCAGCTGAAGCCGGGGAGGAAAAAGAGTAGTTACGCAGAGCGCCGCTAGGGCAACAAAAGTTCCCCGAGTTGCTCTCTCTCGCCTTGTGTGCCTAGATCTTAGAGCGTCCTCAACTACTCGATTGTGGTCACTTGGGTTATGAAGAGCCGAAAACGTCGCTCGTTTGCAAGCGTCTGCAACCTTTTCTCAGCATCTCCTCCCACTTTTCCCGTCCCCACGTAGTGACTCACGCGTGCACATGGCAACTAAATTGCGCGGAAACGTCCGCCATTAAATTGCAAACGCTCTCCATGGTTTAAGTTGCATCCTCTTTTAAATTTAGTCTCTTTTCTCTCGGCTGCTCCGGTCCGCATTCGCATCTTTCGCATATTTTGCATTTTCTATTTTTCGTTTTGTGCGCGCTCGTTGCTCTTAAAGTGCTTTCTCCCTCTCTCTCTCTCTTTTTTTTTTTTCTCTCGTTTTGGTTTTGTGTTGAAAGGGATTCGTTTTATTGTTGGATAGGAAACGGAGAGAGGCCATTACAACGATCGTAAAAGGCGCGCTTTTCAAAGGTCACTCTGTTTTCCTTGGCTGGTTATTTTCGTCAAGCTCAAACTTTATCTTTGGGATGGATTATGCAACGCCACAGTTAACGTCATTTTAAATGCACGAATTTGTGTATGTTTCATTTCTTATATACTTTGAGTTCTTTGTGGGGCGTCTACACGCAGGGCCGGATAGTTCCGAGGACCCGGCTCAGGAAAATTGGTTAGGGGGGACCTCCTTTACTTTGCAAAAATATTCCAAAAGCCGGGAATCATAATGATCAAAAAAACTGCTCCGACTTTACTCAACAAGATTAACAATTTAATCAAACGTTTCGTCTCCCATGCAGGAAACATCGTCAGTGAAACCTACAAGCTACTTTGTAACTTCCCACTTCCTTTTCCAAAATTTATTTTAGCGGAAAAATACCAATCGTTCTCGGTATTCTATTTCTACATACATTTCAGTATCCAAGAATGACGTAAAATATTTTTGGAAATAACGACATTTTTTGCGCCGAAATAACCTCACAAATATATCAGAAGTGTTCATTACTTCTCGCCGTTATTACGAGAATCGAAAACTTTCTGATTGGCAAAATCAGGAGAAACTCGTACATTGATGTCGCACGAATATACATGTCTCTGATATTATCAGCATTTTTCTTTTAAAAGTGGAAATCTATTAAAAAATTCCTCACTCATTTTTTTTAAATATAAATACCGCTAGGTAGTGCCGCCAATAAAAAAAAAAGGGGGGGGGGGGGGACCGGTTTGGGTGCAGCAGGGAATCTAAGGGGGCGGGGGGGGGGGGGGGGGGGGGGGAGCGGGGTCGCACGGGCAACCGCCCCGGTGACGATTGCCCGCTGCCGGTAGTCCTTCAGATATCTAACCGATAAGATCCGCATTGCTTTGCAGCTCTTTTACTGTCATCCAGTTAATTATACGCTAGTAAAATTACTACAGCATTCAAAAGTGTAATTATTCTTTATTTCATTTTTGTTTGACGTCATATATGCCAAGCGATTACTACTATTACGAATATCAGATTAATTAGGAGAAAGAGGCGACGAAATGTAACTGTAAATATTACAAAATATCCTGCCTAAATATCCCTCAGGAGAGCCTGCGAAACGTTTTCACTCCTCTAAATAAAATAATTTTCAACATAAAATTTAGGCCACACAAAAAAAGTTCACCTGTTTGTGTTTAGTGTAATCCAACTGTCCGAATGGCATAAACTAAATAATGTTGTTTGGTCAAAATAATATTTAAAAAAATAACATCTTTTTTTTTTCTATGTCACTCTGAAATTCATTATACAATTTATAGTATATCAAAAAGTTTTATAGATTTTTTTGTCTGGTTTATAATAAATTTTGATGTCAATTTTAAAATGTGTCTAATTTTAATTCAAACCTCCTTTCCTCTTCCTATGTTTTCTTTCTTTTCATTGGAGGCGGTGAGCACCACGTATTTATCAGCCTCGGCGGACATTAGATGAGGGGATTGTCGTCATGGTAAGTTGGCTAGTTAACAAAAACCTGTGAATTACCTTCTTTTTGTTTTCAATTAACGGTGGATGATTGAGCGTGTTGGGGACTAAATTTCGATAACGAACAAGGGACATGGAAGAGAAACAGACGACACAGGTTTTCCACTTGCAACCTGGGTCGTTTGTTTGTCTCCCATGTCCCTTTTTCGTTATTGTAATTGGTCAATTATCGCGTTCCTTAGCCTGACTTAAAGGGATGGTGAACCGAAATTTGGATTTAAAAAAAAAGAATGCAGGAGATGTAGGCGGAACGCTACAATCCCTACAACAGTACTCGTAAGGCGATATCTCGAATGGACGGCCGTATTTTTGGAAAAAGAGGTCGATATTGAACCAGGCCGACGAGGCGCGTGACGTCGACATATCTCGTTTCCTCCTCTCTTCGCTTCACCCCCTCAATGCCTCCATGCGGCGAGGCGGAGAAGCCGCGAGGCCCTTTCCTCTCCTTCTCGGAGAAACAAGAAGACGTAAGCATATCTGTCAAATGCGCCTCCTTTGTTTAGAAAATACGGTTATCCGTTCAAGGTATCGCTGTATGAGTGATGTTTTGGTGTTTGTAGCATCCCGTTGCACGCTTTTGCCGCCGTATTTTGTGGAATCCAGACTTCGGTGAAGCATTCCTTTAAAATTTAGTGCAAAAAGAGCACCGCATGCCCCCCCCCCCCCCCTTCCCCCCCACAATGACGCTTAGAAGAGTGACGTAGTCGTATCAGCTCACATCGTCACAGTGTCGTCGGCGCACCCACCAGGGGCACGTTGCCGAGATAGCGGCGGAAGCGACTACGTTACTTTTCCCAAAGGCATTGTGGGTAGGGCTTGTGACGGTCTTTTTTCGCGCAATTAAGATATTCGGCTAAAAACCGTGAATATTGATCAAATAATATTTATAAATCTATTACATTTAAGCAAATTCTTTCAATTGTTCTAGCCTCTGTAATTGCCGTTAATACTTCAATTGCAACATGGGCCCTAAAACCAATAACTGGAGATCTTAGTCTCTCGTATTTGTCTTTTTCATAAAATCTATCACCATATTCCTCAGCTTAAATCACAACTAATCATCCCCCCTACTTTGTTTCAGCACGCCTCGATCATCGTCACTAAGTCGGTGTCCCATTTTGCCACTATAACGTTTATTATGACTCTTTTATTCCCAGGACTTCCAAAGACTGGAATCGCCTACCTGCATCGCTTACATCAATTAATGACCACGCACTTTTTTTGTACATCTATCGCCAATTTCGTGTTCCCCGTTCTTTAAGTATTGTATATTTTGTTCCAATTGTTTATGTTTACTATTGTTCCCACTCCCCTCTGTAATGCCGTGTGCCCAGAGGGTAAAATAAATAAATAAATAAATTAATTAATAAAAAACTTTCATGATGATTATTATCTCCGTCCAGCCTAATAAATACATGGTTAATTAAGATGCACTCGTCTAACTCCCACGCCTTTTTTTTTAATATCTGCTCGAATTACAATTATAAACACTCGGCAAAGCATTCATACATTTTTTTTTTTTTTTTTTTTTTAGGATTTACAGGTTTGTTTTAAGAAAGATCTGAACCTACACTAATACGATATGTGCCGACGATCTATACGGTCAGGGCGACTGGCTGATGAAGGCAAATGTTCGAAGAAGGAGCGCTGACACACAGTCGACCCATGTGATTTAATCATAAAGGCTTCATGTATTTCACGCTCTAGTTTTGTTTTAAAGTTCCCCACGACCTTAGTACCATGAAAATATGGGCGGCATTCGCATCTATCACAGTGTATACACTGCCAAGTGACCAGACGGGATTGCCAAGTGGCAGACGAGTGCTCTCTAATTCTGGCTTACGTACACTCTCCCGCATGACAAAGTAATTTCCAGTGTTAAGTAGAGTACATTTAAAAAGCACTTGAAGTAAAGTACAAAGTAATTAATGAGAGGTTACGTACTTCAAGTAAAGTACTAAGTACACAGGGCGCAATGTAATCGATGTATACTACTATAAATACAATGTGCTTGCAAAGTAAAGAAGTCCTTTTTAACACAATACTTCATTGTGCCCTTTGATTATATTATAGAGTGATTTTGTGTGTGTGTGTGTGTGTGTGTGTGCACGTGTGTGTGTGTGCGTTTGCGTATTTTAACTGGTATGCATTGCCCCAGCGGTAATGGGCGGTGCATCCGTTATTTTTGGAAATGGCGGCAAATAATGGATAAAGTCCATTGGAGTAGTTGTTTTACTCTCGCTGACTAGCTATTTAACCGAGTGAACTTATAAGCTAGAATAATTATTTGTATCGCCCCTATAGCCGTCATACTTCACTCAGAGAAATGGCCGAACGACGTCTCGAAAGACGATAGCAAGTTATCACATGACAACGATACAACATTTTTTTTTGTTGTTGTTGTTGTTAGAGGTTGGTGAACTTTTACACTCGGCCTCAGGAGTTGTGTAACTGGGAAAGCCAAGGGGGGAAGCGAGCGCGTGGTTCTTGAAAGAGCTTAATTTTACCGAGCGCAAAAAGCCACTGTTCAGGTCAACGTCCCCATGCCGTTCTCAGCGCTTTACACTAGTTATTGCCTTCTGAGAGCGACGAAAGAGACGACTTCTGTGCAGGCCCACTCCCGCGAGCACCCTGCAGCTTGGAGATTGTCGACGGAGTTGGTGACGGGACATAAATCTGCCCCCAAACACAAACAAGATTTGGCAGTGGATGCCGAAAACAACAAAATAATCTCGGCTTGCCCAAAGGGAACTTTTTTAGGTCCATTGTCAACTATTGTTTCTATAGGGAACCGCCTTGTACCCCGCTATGGCAAAAATGTTTACCGGAATTTGGGGAATGTACTTTAAAGTTGGGAGTTGTACTTTGCTTGGAAAATACTAGAAGAAATACTTTAAGTACAGTACATATTAAAAAAACAAAAAAACGTACTTGAAGTAAATCACAAAT